AAACCCAGCCCCTCTTTCAGAGAGGGAAGCAGTTGAAGAAGAAATAGGGCAGGGAGGAACTGTGCAATCATATCACAGTATGTATGATTTTGTTCAACGTGGAATGGTCAAGGTGATATTTCTTTTTCAACAGCTCTTCTGAAGGAGGCCAGCTCTGGGGTGGAAAAGGTTGGGGCGAAGGAGAGACTGGGCAGAAGGAAGAGATGAGAGTGGGATGGGGGTTAATGTTAACATGCTGTTCACAGCTTCCTCCTGTACTGTATGAAGCTCCCTTTAGGTACAGTTTTGGATGAGGAGGAGCTGTGCCAGGAAACATTACTCTTGTTTTTTTTGTTTGCTTGTTGGGGTTTTTTCTCCTTCTTTTTCTCTCTCTCTCTTCCCCCCCTCACACACACACACCCCTCGCCCAGTCTGAAATACAGTTTCCTTCTTTAGTCTGTGATCCAAAGACACAGGTTGGAAAATCAGGTTCCTTCTGTTTAGCATAGTGCCTCAAAATAAGACTTAATAAAGTCACATGATGAGTGAATAACTAGGATTAGTGACCTTAAGGTACCTTAATCATTCACCAGGATATAACCTAAGTGCAGTCATTTTACCAGTAGTATGTAAATTGATACATAGTGGCTGGAAGCCAGATTCCTCCTTTTGGACACATCACACCAAGCAGGTAAGGGAAATGACAGCTCCAAGGAATCCCAGGCAGGCTTGGGACTTAGTTTATGGTTCCTGTGATGTTGTGCACGGCAGAAAATGAAGGAGTCCAGCCAAAACAGAACCTGCATTTCTGGCCCAACACATGGGAGAATCTCCTGAATGGGATGGGAGAAGGTGCTCAGTGTGTGAGCATGCAACATTTGAAATCAAGTGCAGACAGGTCCTTTCCTGTGAATATGACTCAATATTGAACTAGGAGCCACCCACACTACTGATGTGACTACTGGTGTTTGCTGCCGCAAGCATTGCACACAAAGCCAGGACATTTCTGAGTACTGACACTGCAGAAACCAAACACTTTTCTCTCCAAATGTACCTTATTTTCCTGACTCTGCTGTTGTAGGGGGGAAACATTCATATCCATGGTTCAAACAGGGAGCAATGCTGTTTCTCTATAGAGAGACTGGGGCTTAGATTCCCTGAGGCTGCTCACAGTAGTGCACACTGGAGGCAGAGAGGAATTGCAGCTGAAGCCTGAATGAAATGTGTTTTTTCCTTCAAATAAAACTTAAAATGGAGGAATTGTTTGCAACATACTAGTTCCCTAAATTGTGATGGGAGCTGTCAAGTAGCATTGCAGTGTTTCCACTGCACAGGTACATGCAAAGCAGGCGGATTTTATCTCATGCAGGGAAGTCTTTGGAGGAAATTTTGAAGGAAACAATTTCTGCCAGGATGACCTCACAGAGTTTTACCTTAAACTGGTATTTGTTTTGGATGACTCATCTTGTTTCCTTTCAGTATGTGAATTCATACAAATTTATAGCTTAATGCACTCTAACTCAGTGGATTAATCTTGGCGGATTAGCTGTATCATGGTTTAACTGTAATGCAGGCAAAAATTATATAGCAGTGTTCATGTAGTGTTGTGTGGACTTACAGTTCAGGCAGCTCAAATGCACAGTTAATAAAGTTCTTTTTTTTCTTTTCCTGCAATTACCCTGCATATATGAGAGGTTTTCACATACAGACTCCCCAACAGCTCTCTACAGCATCTCTGGTGCTTTCAAAAGCCCCTGGGATGCCCCTCACAGCTAGCTGTATGGAGAGGGGCCAACACAGAAGTGCACACTTGAGGGAATAACCTCTGAGCCCTCTGCAGTCATCTGACACCCCCTGAGGCTGACCATTTCCTCTGCACTGGGATTTTAAAGAAAGCCTGAGACTACATTTCTTTAAGCTGCTCTAACAGCCTGCTGCCTCTGAAAAAGGTGCTTTTATCCCCCATCCCCTTCATTTTGTAGCTGGCCCTTCGTTCCATGAATTTATTTGGCTCATTATCCAAGAAGATAGCTACTTGCTTTTTCTTTCCTAATTATTTTTCCTCTGGGCTAACAAGTTCTGTAAGCTGATGGAGCTGGAGGGGTGGGATGGGTGGTGAGGAGCAGAGCAGGGATGTACAAATGGACTCTGGTAGAGGCAATGCAGGGAGCAGGTTAGCCCTGCAGTGGGATCGCACCCATCTGCTGCCATTCAGGGCACAGCTCAGGTGCCTCTGGAGGAGCATCTACTTCCCTGGCACTGGTGCAGGCTCTTGGGAGACTCCAGGGAGAGCCAGCCATGTACCTTAAGTGATCAGGCAATTTAATACCACAGAAAAGATGAGAAGCTTTTTTCCAGCCTTCATCTCCTGAGCCAGCTAGTTGTGGGGCTGGCAAGATTCAGGCCAACACAAGGGAGCAGGCAAGAAAACCAACCAGGTCCAATACCGTCTCCAGGAAGGCTCAACAACCACCTCACCTGTAGATTCCCCCAGTCCTGCTCCCTAAGGGAAACCTACAATGGACTTTTAAAAGATAAGCCTAAAACCTGAAATACCTAATTCTGCAGACTATCAATTGCAAACTCATTTTATGCATTTCACAGAGCAATTAAATTTGTTCCACACACTCTTCAGGGTGCCATGGGTGCTATCACCACATTGCTTCTCCCCTTGCCAGGTGGCCCCACTGCCCCACCAGTAAGAAGCATGGTTATGGCTGAGTAAGGGCTGAAGGATGAAATTTGTCACAGAGCAGTTATCCCCACCCAGACTGTCCTGGAGCTTTGCTCAAGGCTAGAGAGGTGGCTGGAGAAATGTGGTCTTTCTGTAGTAAGCAGATTCCTTGATGTAGTGGGAGCAGTGCCTTTTCAACAAACCTTATCTCTGTGTAATTAGTTATGCAGCCGTCAAAGAAGAGCCTCAGATGATGCAGAAAGCAGAGTTTGCTAATGAGAGTAGGTCTAATCGCAGAGCACATGTATGTTGGAGGTGTGGAGCCAGCTCCAACCACAGTCTTTTGGGGCAGAGTTGGCGGCGGGGGGTACCCTGTTAGCACAGCTGGGTCAGGACCTTTGTTGGTGCAGGTATGCTGTTTGGTCACCAAGTTTAGAGGAAAACAGCTTTGTTTTTATTTGTTATTGTGATGAATACACTAACTTGAGGGTGGAGCTGTGGCTGGATCCTGGCCTTGCTGCTATCAGTTGTGCAGTGTTAGGCTGTAAACAGGCACAACTTTCTGAAGACATTTTTGCAGGTGCAAAACCTCCCTAAAGGCAGATGTGTACGTGACTCTTCCCCAGCATGCAATTATGGGGCAGAGGGTTAATTTGTGCAGCCAGATGGAGGAAGTCTCTAATCCATGTATCATGTTTAGAACAGATTGATAAGAGCTGTCAATTTAAATGTTGGTGATGCAACAAAAACCTTTTTGTTTATGTCTGATTGTAGGCATGAGAAGTGTGTGCAGCCATTCATAATCTGTTCTTGTAAACAGAGTTTCATTATCAAACGCAGGCAGTCAAATACTGTGCGTCAGTATCTTCCACCTTCTTCCCAATCCATCTTCCAAAGTAGGAGTCACTTCAAAAGAGTTTATTAAGAAATAGCACTGGGTTCTTATCTCAATTACCTTCTGGTTTTGAACGCCTACACTTTACTTTTTCACACTTCATTGCTTTTCTAAATGAACGTGGTGACTGAGACTCAGAGCACTGAGCCCCACTGGCTTCTATCTTATAAATATATTTTAGCAAGTCTCAGGGATCTTCTCTCCTTACCACCACCTCACCCCAATACTGTGTGCCTCTTCATCCCAGCAGTGGTGTCAGTGTGGCTTCATGTCTCATGCCTGAGAAAACCAGGACACTTGGGTTCCTTCCCATGGCCAGCCAAAAGAGCTGCATGACACTGATGAGAGTGTGTTGGTGATGGGATCTGCAGGCACAGATGGCTTTTGACATCTGGAAGCAGTACAACTTAGTCCTCTGGTGGGAGAGAGCCAAGCGGTAAGCTGAACAGGAGAGAAATGCCTGATTATATGTGGATGGTCCTCAAAGAGCAGAAAATATGGTAGGACTAAGCCAGAGGTGAAGGGTTCATGGAAGAGCTGGCATAGAGGGGACTAGTGGGACAGTGTTGTAACTTTTATTATTGCCTTTGCCCCCTGGGGCCCATAATTAAATCACATTGGGAGTTACACAGAATCTGCTGTGCTATCATGGTGCTGAATCTCATCACCTGAGCTGCCACATCATCCCAAAGTTCTTCTAACTCAAGAAGGCTGTCCAGGCAGGGGACATGAGAAAACCCCAGTGTCCTTGCTCCTCCATAGGTGTCTCCAAGTCCAGAGGTTATTTCCCTGGTGGGCTCAGAGTGTGTTTCAGGGGAGTGCACTTAGCAGGTGCTAGCCCCAGGCATGTGCTTGGTCTCATCTCACCTCTGAAATGACATTTGGGATGCCCTGGGCCTGCTGCAGCTTGGGCAGGTGCTGTGAGGGAACCTGCAGGCTGCAGGTGCTGAACGTGACCTGTGCTGAATGTGGCCCAGCCCTGAGCTCTTCACTGTGCAGCAAGAGCAGGAGGGAGACAACTGCCGCCAGCAGAGGCTGCCCTGCGGACATGGTGGTCTCCCCTCCTCCTGCCTGCTGCTGCCTCATGGGAGGCACACACCACGGCTGTGATGTTAGGCAGGAGCAGCAGCTCTGATGTGTAGTGCAACACACATCAGAGCCTCACAAAGGGGTGCAGCCCATGCGTGAGGCCACGGGAACAGCAACCTTACTGTCCTGGCACTACCCTGGCTGAACCACCACCTGCCTCCTGGGCACTGCGCTGCAGGGGCTGGGAACCACCACTGGCTCTGTCATAAGTTGTGGGACCATGTAGGGCAGGCAGCCCCCTGAAGAGGAGGCAGGGAGTGCAAGGAAGGCCACTTCTCAGGGCACTTTGGCTGCTGGAGTGGCAGGGAAAGATGCCAGTGTCATGGGTAGCAGCTCTGTCCCATCCTCCTTCCTGCTGGGGGCTCAAAAAAGGCCCGTGGTGCTGAGGGGAGAGAGGATGACAGGGACATCGGGTGGGGTGAGGATGGGTGTCGTGTCTGATGTGGTCTCTTCAGCCTCGCTGTCCATGTCCTCGAAGCTCTCACTGACAGAGGGGATGATCTGCACCACCTTCTCCTGGAAGTGCACTTGCTTGCGTGGGGCTGGCAGGGCTGCTGGAGGAGCTGTGCTTCTGTCCTTGCTGCCCTTCAGAATGCTCTTCATGTGGCCCAGCAGTGAACGGTGCTGCTCCCTCTGGGCCCCGTGGAAGGTGTAGGTCTGCTCAGTGTCACCAGCAATGGTTGGTGCTGCAACAGTGGCTGAAGGGTCCACATACTGGCCTGCCTCGGGATGTGTCTCTTTGTGCCCTGCGCTCTTCCTTCTCTTGCTAAAAAAGGCCAGGGCAGTGAGCACCAGCATGGACCCTGGGGAGAAAACCATGTTGGCTTAGGTCTGGGACAAGGCAAAGTGCTTGGCCTAGCTAGCTTAGCACCATCTACAACTGGACCAGCACCTTGCGCATCCCCACCCTCTCTGGTCCTCAGCAGACCACGCTGCTCTTCTATCTGCACCACACCCCAGCCCAGCATGGGCTCCTCACCAGGAATGGTGACGTGCCAGATGAGGACAGGATGCAGGAAGCAAGCCACTGAGAGAAGTGTGTACCCCAGGAATTTCTGGAAGCTCCCTGGGCGTCTAGCTCGCTTCCAGCAGGCCTGCGCCAGGGAGTCAGGCTCATATCTGGAGAGAGAAACAGAGGTCCTTGTGGGATGGGGCACATGGCACAAGGTAAGAAGAATTGAACCTAACCATCCCCCATCTAGATGTGCAGATCCTCACTCTGGTTTTCCAGGGAGCTGTTGTGTTGGTCAGGGAAGGTAAGCAAAGCCTGAGCCTCTCGCATAGGCAGAAGAGGCCAGGGGCTACATCTGCCAATGGTCACCATCTCAGGCCTTCTCTCCTTGGTGTGTTTGCCCACTTGGCTACTAGATGAATGCTTATTAGCTGGACTAATATGTTGCCTCTAAGGTATCAGGGCTTTTGAGTTTATGCTAAAAGACAGCAAAAATTCTCAGCCTCTGAGAAGTACATAAGGATTTTCTACATTTTAACTTGAACTTCTGCACTGTCTCTTGGAAGGAGCTGCGGCTCACCCTGGGGATCTGGCTCTTCCCTCAATGCCAGTACCTTGCAGGGCTTTATACTGTGTGTTAAGCAGATGCTGCAGACCAGGGTTTGTTGTTGCTCAGCAAATTATGGTATAAGCTTTTCTTAAAACACAGGTTTAATTGGCTGTGGACATGGCCCCACTTACCTCCCCCCTGTCTGACTGCACTTGTCATGGCATTAGGGGCAGGACCTTTGATCTGGCACTTGCAGCTCAGCTAGGTCTGATGTCGCCTGTAAAGGGCAAGTTACCTTAGGAGGTCCCACCAAGGCTGGAGAAGACTGGACAGGGTCTACTCACGTGAAGCACATCTCCAGGAACAAACTGATAAAGAAGCAGCCTTCACAGACAGTAACTGCAACCCCTGAAAAACTGAAAGGTGGAGCTGTCAGAGGGACAGGGATGGGCTAAAGTATGCTCTCCAGTTGGCAGAAGGGGAAAAGAGGGCCAGGATTGCCTATCCAGATCACAGCAAAGTCTGTGTGCTTGGGTCTGAACACCCTCTGCTCAGATGGTTTGTGGAGGAGAGCTCAAAGCCCTTCTGTCCCCAGGGGGTCAGCTTGCAGCCAGTGTCACCTCTGGCCTGCCTGAGTCTGCAGTAGCATGGGTGATGCAGTAGCATCACTTTGTCTAACAGAAATAACTTACTTTGCTGAAACCTGGAGACCTGAATTCCCCAAAGCCTCGGACACTGCTCACTGCTGCTGTTGCAAACTAGCCTGGTGCTACATACAGTGGAGGGGTCGAATGAGTCACCCCTGCCAGCTCTGACTTGAAGGTCAAAAATACTCACAGCAGATAGAAAGCCAGGCTTTTGAACTGTCCTCGCTGCAGAGTTTCTACGCCCACACCGATCAGCACTAGAAAGAGAAGGTAGGAGAGATGCTGACTGCAGGGTTGATTCCCGACTCTCTGGTGCCCTACAAGCTCCCAGGATCGATGCCCCGGCTTCCCCAGGGACTGGCAAGGCTGCTCCTCTCAGCCTGTGCAGCACATTAGGACTGCCAGCAACAGTGATTCATGCTGATACACCAGCCCAGGGGGGCCAGAGCTGAATGCTGGCCTTGACATACAGCCCAGAAACCCATCTCAGCTGCATCCCTATCACAGCAGTCTTGAGAGCTGCTCTGGGGATACCAGCTCACCTTGGAGAGCTGTGGGAGGTGAGCACCAGTGTCCTGTGCCCCTACCACCCCGTGCCACGCTGCTCCATCACGGCTGCCACAGGCACTTCCCTCCCAGTGCCCCATCCTCTGCCACCTCAGACCTCTCTGCCATGTCTCCTCACTCCCCTGCCCTCTCTGCTTGCCCAAGCCTGCTGCACTCAACATGCAGCTGCAGGGCAGCAGCAGGACAGGGGAACCATGTCGGCTGCCTTCCTAAAGGGCTGTAGCCATGGCACCAAGATCCTTTGGTAGCCAAACAGAAAAACATATAACTGGAGCAGGCAGATTAAAAACATGGAATGAACATCCCCTCAGTGCCGCAGGCTAGCACAGCACACTGGGGAGTCAGTGTAAGGAGGATTAAGAGTATTAGCAAGGCTAAAATCTTCACTGGACTGGCTGTTGGGGGCAAATAGCTTCAGGAATGGAAAATTTCCTTCAACATGCTTCAGTTCCCCACAAGACTATTTCCAATATGGAATGAAAATAAAGTGCCTCACACTAGCTGCAGCAAGTTGGTCAGTGTGCTGGTCATAGCACACAAGTGCCAGCAGTGTGGAGCTGAGCAAAGCCTGGGTTTCATGGCCAAGGCATTGGTCTTGGCAGTCACTGCACTCCTGTGCTCACCTGATGTCTCCACATCTTCCTGCCTTGTGCTGGTGCTCAGGAAGTTTACTGCTGGTCCTGCTCAATGCACACTGGCCAAGGCTTGGGGTGCCAGTTGGCTTCTCTGAGCTGTGGTTTGCCCCAGCTGGAGAAGGGTACCAGGCTCCCAAACAGGGATGCAGACCAGTGTCAGTGATGCCTGTGAGGGGGGTCAGTGCTGAGGGTCTGCACCTGAGCCTGCAGCTCTCCCACCTGGGCTGACCAAAGCCACTCTGTATCACCTGCAATGCTAGTCCCTCTTAGCAGGGTGAAAGCATGGGACTATGTACCACCCTCCTCCATGGAGGCTACCTCTCCAGCCCCAAGGAGAAGGACAGGGAAATCAGTCTCATCGAAGGGCTGTGAAGCTGTGTGAGCTGTGTAATCCTACATGCAAAGTATTGTCCTTTACTGTCTCGTGACTGAGAACCCTTCTTAATACCCTTTCCTACAAATGTGGAGTTTGTTCATTCATTCACTCATTCCCTATGGATGAATGCAGAATTCAACAGCTTGGCTGTTACACTCGAGTCTCTGCTCTGGATGTGGAGGTTTCCTTATTTTGCACAGCTTCTGCTTTATCCACAAAGCTGTTTGGATGAAGAATCTGAAAAAAGCCAAGGGACGTGTTTGTTTGGACTAGTTGCTGCCTTGATTTGGATCTTATCCAAACCACGTGGCTGAAGGCACATGATTAGGAATTAAATGGTTGAAAGCATGAGAATTGAGAATTAAGAATTAAATAAGGACTCTCTCCTAGATGCAGAAATCACAAGGCCTAAAACCTCTGAGCCACAGAGATACCCCAAACAATGCAATGAATGGCAGGGCTGTTTGATCACTCTCTGCTAACTTGCCATGAGGGTCTGCTGATGGCAGGGCTGTCTGATTTCTCACAAGAAACCCTGTAGTCCCACCATTGCAGACATCCATTACCTTCAAGACCTTGGGGGAAGGGAGGTTTGTATCATGTGGGTAACCTTCTGTGTTTACAAGCAGCTTATGGAGCTGGCCAAGCCTTCTCAGACTCAATTAGTGAGGCTGATGCACTCTCCCCTCCCGTGGGATTCTCTTCTGCATGGTTTCCATTTCATGCAAAAACCTCACACACCTCATCAGGCACTAAACACTGCATCAAGCTGTTTTCTTACTCCACTGAGACACATAGAATAAAACACAGGCACTTCCCATTCTTCACTGGCCTTTTGGAAAAGACAGGTGATACTGGGAACGCATCAGAGCTATGGAAAAGCAGAGATCAGTAGTGCAGATGTCTATGCTCTGTGATGCTCAGCAGCAAGACAACTACACTACTCATTTTAAGAAGAACTATAGAAAGAGGTGCAGATGATGCAAAATGATGGCAAGAAAACAACCAGGAGAGAGAGATTATATTCCACTAAGACACTTCCAAAGTGTTCCAATTTTGCTGGTCTAGCTTTAGTTTTCCCATGGCAACAAGCTCATGTGTTCCTCCAGGAAGGTCTCTGTGAGTTTCCTTGGAGCTTTAACAGAGAACATGACTAACATGGGGCTCATGTGGGCCTGAGGCAGATGAGGATGAAGGAAGGAAGAGATTTGCATTTGCTGGTTAAAGCTGTGTCCCAGCTCCTACCTGTTACAGTCTCCTCATGATATGCACTTATCTACTGTGCGTTTGTATGAACTGAGAGACTCAAATCTCTGCCTCTTATCAGTCATTTAAAGCACATTCCAGAGCACAGCCTCCAGTGTCCCAGCTGAGCTTTGGGTGTTACGGAGTACCCATGCTCTCTTCAGCTGACCTGTGTGCTCTTTACTTAGCCCTTCACTCGAGAAAAGTGTCTCTCATGTCTGCCTGCAGTTGATAAAGGAACTTCGAAGGTAGGAGAGCCTGCTGCGACCTACTCTGCAGCGTCTGAACCTGTGATTCCCAGGGGCCTGACGCAGGAACCACAGGTACCACTTCAAGTCACCTCTCACCAGGAACCTCAGGTTCACACCTCTAGCCTTTAGGCAAATCAGGCACTTTGATCTCTGCTTTACTGATGGGGAAACTGAGGTGGACAGCGCTGTCTGTCCTGTCCTGTAACAGTGAGTCAGCAGCAGTGCCAGAGTGAACCTGGGCTCTCTGCTTTAGCTGCTTTCTCACATCCCATCCAGAGATATGTCCCATGTGAGGGGATCATCCATCACAGTTGAGTCCTTCTGGGTGAGTTGCTGTGCCTGACACATTCAGCTCAAAACACCTGCATCTCACCTGAAACCAAGCACTTGGATGTGTCACCAAACCCAGAGGACACTGGTCCCAAACAGCCCCGGGCACCGGGTGAGAGGATGTAACTAGCCAGGTGGGTGACTTTACGATGTTTGAACTGCAGCTATAACCTGAACTGCTTCCTGAGCCTGCTCCCTGACAGGTTGCTAGAGACGTAAAGCAGCACTTAGACAGTAACTGTGCTGTGATGGCTCGGACCTCTCCATCCTGCCTAGCTCAGGACATCTCACTGTGCACAGCACAACGTGCTCCTCCTTTTTCACATCCCACAGAGCAGCTTGGCAGTTTTGCACAGCCATGAGTATTTTGCTTTTCGGTCTCATTCACATCTTGCCTGTGTCCATGTCTGTCTTACGAAAACATAATGTAGTTTTCTTCTCCATTTGTGCTTTAGCTTGTCCTCTGCCCTACTGAGTGCTGGCTCTTCCATTCTGATGTCTCACTGTGCCTCCCATAGCACTTGCAAAGAGCTTGGCCAGGGACCCAGCACTCTCCCTCCCTGCATCCCAAAGTGAGCAAGTTTTCTTCTCTCCTCGTAGTATGGGACAGTGGCTGCACCTGACCAAAGGCAGGAAGACAGCTCAGGGGTCCCCACACCCACTCAGTGCCTTTTAGAGCCTAAGAAAGAGAGAGCTTGCCCTTACCTGCTGCAGTGGAGATGCCCAGCAGTCGGCAGGTGTACTCCAGGGCACTCCAAAATGCCTTGTGCCGCATGGCGAAGAGTTGGAGACCGTGGTGCCAACCAGGCAGCAGCTTCTCTTCAGGGGTCCCGCCTCACGCGTACCCAGCAGCTCGCAGCCACAGGCAAACGTGCCCAGGTCCAAGTGACCTTCCTGAAGGAAAGGGCAGCGCATGAAGGTCTGGACACCTCCACGGGGCCTCCCAGCGGAGGGTGGTCGGAGGGCGAGCTGCCGCCACAGGGAACCGGCCAGCACTGCTTCCCGCTGCTCCCGCACGGGTGCAGACACTCGGCCTTTCCTGCCGCTTGCTCTCCTTGCTGGCCCGGCGGTGATTAATGATTGGTAAGGGGGGTGTGTGTGCAGCTTTGGGAGCATTTGCACCAGGGCGCACCACGGCCTTTCCTGCTCCCGAGGAGGAGGCTCTGGAAGCCCAAGCTGATTAAATGCATGTGAAGTCATTAGTGCTGTGCAGCTCCCGGCAGGTTAACCGTTTGTGAGGATGGAGATGTTTGCTTTTGACGAGAGAGCAGCATGTTGCTGGCGAGTCACAGGCTCCCAGAGCACCCCACTGCCTCCGGCCACTGATCCCCCTATGGCTGGCGCCCCTCTGCCGGGCTT